TGTGGAGTCTACATAAGTGAAGCATGTCTTCTTATGTTATTGAGCTCAGTTGATTAACATGTTAAAGGTATATTTAGCTACATCTATAGTGTGTTTGGATGAGAAATTTTACAAATTCAAAGAATTTTAAATTCTTAGTATTTGAATTACTTTGATTTCAATTTCTATCATTCTTAAAATATTTTGTTTGGATGAGTCAATTTAAATTTTTTAAATTTTAAATTATTAGGTTGAATATGATAATTTGATTCCATCATAATAAAATTAATTTTAAAAATATATTTATATGTTGAGATTTTTAAATTAAATTTTATAAAAATAAATATTAATCCATTTTTAAATATTTAATAATTTTAAAAATTAATATTAGATAATATTTAATAATTTTAAAAATAAATATTAATCCATTTTAAATATTTAATAATTTTAAAAATTAATATTAGATAATATTTAATAATTTTAAAAATTAATATAAGATAAAATTTAATAATTTTAAAAATATTTTTGAATATTTAATAATTAAAAGAATGAAGAGATAAGATAAAATATATGAGGAATTTCAAATTCTCCTATTTTTGGGAGAATTTGAAATTCTACTATTTTAAGGAATTTCACAAATGCTTGAATTTCAAATTCTTTGTAAATTCATCATCCAAACAAAGCATTTCACCTCAAGAAATTTGAAATTCTTCAAATAAATGAATTACCCTATATAAATTCCTCATCCAAACACACCACTAGTAAAATTCAAGGATACATTAAAATCATCTTTTCTTTCTTTCTTTTAAAACAAAAACAAGAAAAAGAAAAAAAAAAGCATATGACAAAATGAAAGAGAGAAAAAAGTCTGCACATAAATAAGTCATATTTATATACCCATCATACTTTAAAGTTCGCAATTTTTTATTATGTTATCATCTTTTATCACTTTTACCTTATTTATCCTCTGGTCAATGTTAGAGTGATACTTATTCAAAACCAACTCACTCTTAATAAAAAAAAATGTTGATGAATTGGATGCTTTAAAATGGATGATCCAAGTTTTTTTATGAAAATTTCCATGACTTTTTCTTTATGATGGTAGTCATGCAAAGCAACCATTTTGTTCTTGTGGTTTTGGTGCGAACATCATAGGGAGTGATAGTAAACATCAACAAAAGCCTCCTTTGGAGGAATATCCATCTTCAAAAATGTGGTTGTTATCATATACAAGGAATAAAAGGACTCTTCATTACAAGACAAGGTTATGAGTAAGCACATTCATGATATAAATTTGGAAATGTTGGAAAATGTTGTTGGGGAACATGATATTTAGTAATGGTGGTTGAATAAGAATTGAGCTATGTGACATAGTTTGAGTCATTAGCCTCAAGCAAGGATTTTCTAGAAAATTATTTAAAGGTTAAAGTTGGAAAATTGGATCAAACTTCATGAAGACAACAATGGATAAAACATAGAAAACAAAAGGAAAAAAGAGAATGTGAGCCAAAGATGGGGAAAGTTGTTGTATGTGATTTGAAGAAAAGGGGTTCTTTTGGTGATTTTCTACATTTTCCCTCATATTTCTTCACTTTCAATGTCCACCTATAATTATAAACATAAGACACCCTTATTCCTCCCATCACATTCAACAATTGTAGTATGTAATGTGAAGAATAGGAGTTTCCAATGATTATATCCATCTTCAAAAATGTGGTTGTTATCATATACAAGGAATAAAAGGACTCTTCATTACAAGACAAGGTTATGAGTAAGCACATTCATGATATAAATTTGGAAATGTTGGAAAATGTTGTTGGGGAACATGATATTTAGTAATGGTGGTTGAATAAGAATTGAGCTGTGTGACATTGTTTGAGTCATTAGCCTCAAGCAAGGATTTTCTAGAAAATTATTTAAAGGTTAAAGTTGGAAAATTGGATCAAACTTCATGAAGACAACAATGGATAAAACATAGAAAACAAAAGGAAAAAAGAGAATGTGAGCCAAAGATGGGTAAAGTTGTTGTATGTGATTTGAAGAAAAGGGGTTCTTTTGGTGATTTTCTACATTTTCCCTCATATTTCTTCCCTTTCAATGTCCACCTATAATTATAAACATAAGACACCCTTATTCCTCCCATCACATTCAACAATTGTAGTATGTAATGTGAAGAATAGGAGTTTCCAATGATTATAGTCGTAGGTAGATATTTAAAGGAAAAAATTGGAATAAGGACAAAAATGAAAAATAACCATAACCATAACCATATATTTTTCAAATCACATACAACTTTTCTCTTTCTCTCTCGCAAGCACATTCTTACTTTTTCCTAACTCACTCTCTTATTGTCTACATGGAGTTCGATCCAAGTTTCTAACAACTACTATACCATTCTAGCCTTTTCAAAAAAAAACTTAACTTAAAGCCACAAACATAAACCATGTTTCACTCACAAAGTTTCATTCTCATTCCATCATCACCACCACCTGTCATGTTCCACCCAACAACATTTTTCAACATTTACATGACCACATTATGATTTTGCCTAAACATATATTTGCTTTTGTAATGAAGTTTCCTTCTTTTCCCCTTGTGTGAGATACTAACCCCTTCTCTGGATGATAGGTCTTCCTTAGGAGGAGGTTTTTGGTTGATGTTAACCGTCACTACCTTCAAAAGCAAAATGGATATTTTGCGTAGCAACCATCACAAAGGAAAAGTCATTAGTACATAGATCAAAGGATGAAGAAGGTAAACATGGGAAATGATATTGATATCATAAGGATAGTGGACTCTAGAAAAGGAAAGATATATATGTAGAGTCTACATAAGTGAAGTATGACACCTTACACCGTCAAATTCAAATTCAAATTATACGATACAACAAGGATTACTATAATACATAGTGCACATCTATATACCTAGTCATCAAAACCTTCATCTTTAACAAGTATAAGAATACCATAGTACAATCCTCACCAACCATTTCGGTGTGAAACCTACACTTGCCTGACTTAAATCTTGCCTTTTCTGGTTATGTCTTCATAGGTAAGTTCAACAATTAATCTCACCATGCTCTATTTGCCAACAAAATAAAGCCATTACTTCTAAGAAATTTGGGTTGCTACAAACATTACTTATCCCACAACATGTTTGGGAAGACATGAGTAAGAATTTCATAACATGTTTTTACCTTCATCAACAAGCCATACCATTATCTTAGTCATTGCTGATCATTTGACCAAATGGGTACACTTTGAGGCACTGCCAACCATTTCATAGCGGTCGCTTCTTTGATGAAATTTTCACCTCCCCAAAAACAACGGTCATAGAAATCATGATCTTGTTTTTCTCAATAAATTTTAGAGCAAGCTCTTTTGAATTCAAAGCACAACCTTCTAGTTGTCAACGAACTATCATCCAGAGATCAACAACCAAATTGAGTTCATCAATCACTCTTTTCAAGCCAACCTTTGTTGTTTTACAAGCCAACCACACCAACCGTTAATTCTTATTCCTCCACTACATCGAGTTATGGTATAATACCACTTGGCATTTCACCATTTACATGAGCCATTTTCAAGCTCTACAAAGCTACCCTCTCCCCATCATCCTTGACTACAAAGCTAACACAACTCACCATGTTTCCATCGTAGCCATTCTATAGTAGAGAGAACTCTTATTAGTGAGTTTCAATAGACACTTTGTCATACTTGCTAGAGCATGGAAAACCATGTTAACAAGAAGCGTCAAAATCTTACCTTCAACACCAAAAATTGGGTGTGGCTCCATCTCCAACCTAGTCAACATTTCTTTGGCCAATTTTTAGGTTGTTCATCGAATTGGCCGAATGGCCTATGAGTTTACAAACATCAACCTGCCTAAACCTCACTTTCCATGTTTCTCTCCTCTAACAATACGTTGGACCTACCCATACCCTTGGTTTTCCCTCCTATCGCCACCCAATGAAACAGAAAACCCATCAACTCCCCCTTAATAATGTGTCACCAACTGGATCCTATGTTGAACCTCATCCCTTCAACTTGATCTGCAACTCACTTCCCCTAAAGCAATATCCACCCTCCATAACAAACTCACCTTCACCTACCTTCATTAAATGCTCCCATGTAAACTCCCAACACTAGACAATTCAAACAACTTGGAGCACCAACTCATATTTAAAGGAGCAAGCCCAAAAGAAGCCATAAACATCCCATTTGGTTTAAAGGTTTCAATTAAAACCTTGTAGCCCAACTCTTTAGTTTAGAACTTTTTAGTCGTTAGTAAGGGATCTTAGTTCATACCAACTTGGTTTGACATGAGTGATAAAGGACTCACCTTGTTTAACCAAGTGAATAGCCTTTGGATTCTGACCGTTAAGAATGCAAAAAACTCAAGCAGGAAAGATATGCTTACTTATTTGATACCTGTCAAACCCTCGAGAAAAATTAGTTCTCATGTCCAACAGATGATACTCCTTGGTAATGAAAAGGACCTTAGCCAATTATCAATGATAAGAAGAATATTCGGTATTTTACTCTTAGATTTATTAGCTTACATTTTTGTTACCATTATATCCTTTTAGGAATGAAAAAAAAACTCAAGTTGAAATATATGCTTACCTATTTGATATCTATCAAATTGTATCAAACTATTGAGAAAAATTGATCCCCGTGTCCGACAGAAGATACTTCTTAGTAATGAAAAGGACCTCAGCCCATTATCAATGATAAGAAGAATTTTCAGTATTTTACTCTCAGATATATTAGTTTACATTTTTGTTACTATTATATCCTTTTAGTAATTGTAGATAGGGAGAAAATACCTATCATGTTTTGTTTCCAGCAGCTCATGCTTGAGAAGCCGTCATGACCGATCTAAAGCTAATGTTTCGTTAGGATACGTGAGTGTGTCTCACTTTCCCGCCGAAAGAAAATCACCGCATGAATGGTGATATAAGCTACAGTTTCCTTAATCTAAAATATTGGCAATGAAATCACCCAAAAAAAAAAAGGCAATGCATCACATGGAGAATACCACCTTACCCTTGAGATTTTATAACATATAAATGAACAGAATCAACAATCTGGCATGAAATGTTACATTTTTAATTGTAGAACAAACTCCCAGTAAGATCTTGAAAGTTTAAACAGAACATGTATACCTATAGAATTTATTCCTCCTTACTTCATCGCCCCTGGTCAGTATATATAGAGAGGGCCCATGAAGATGTATAACGGATGGGAGCCAAGCCTATCTTCATGTGTTTATTCATTCTTAGAATGAAATCTTCACTGCCCTTCATCTAAGGTACCCACAAAGCATTTCTCCAACAAGAATTCAGCGTTAACCCAAGCATGGTATTTATCTGATTCAAGAATCAAGGAAAAGGCAAAAGTAATCCTAACAAAACAGAAACTGTGCATTATGGGCAACAGATGAACGTGTTCAAGGCAACTACACTGCAACTTGAATCATAGGCATATGGCACGTGCATGAACAAACCAAACAGGAATAACCAACATTAGTCTCCTTTGCAAGTACTTAGAAAATTATTTAGAAGTTACTTTAGAATGATATACACACAACAATTAAAACCCCAATGTTGTTATGCGATGCCAGGCATAAAATCTTGGATTATTTTATATACTATCTCATAACCTAGGATGGAACAAATACATAAAAAAGACAACACGCAAATAGTGATAGGAAAAAAAATATTTGTTGGTGTATCTTAAATTTTAAGTTGTGAAATCTTAGTATAAGGTTTATAAGTTTTTCCTATTTGCAAATAACAATAAATAATTTTTAATTCCTAAATAATTATAATCAAATCTATATAAAGAAAAAACTAATAATTTTTAATGAAAAGTAATCATTTATAACCTTTAAAGTAACAACAGATTATAAAAAAAGGAAAGACTAATAAAAATGAGATTCTCAAATATTTTATCTAAATAGAAAAAGAAACATAATTATTACCAAAATAAAAGTCTAGAGAAAAGAAATCAAAATATTTGTTTAATAAAAGAAAAATATATTCACAAAAAATATTATAAAAAGGAAATATATATAAAATATTATATACAAAAATATTAAAGATATAAATTAAATTAAAATGTAATTATTTTTTATAAATAAATTCTTAAATATAAAACATAATAATTATCCAAAATTTAAATATATAATATACCTTTAAAAAATTAAAATTGCAAAAAAGTTTGGGGGGCAAGGCCCCCTTGGATCTGAGGTAGATTCGTTCCTGTGCATAACCAAACATCTAATAAATGGGATTCTAAGCATTTCAGAAATTAAAATCCCTACCTCTTCTTACCAAACACATTTTTAGTAGGAAGAAATACTTATAAGAGAAGTTATGCAAGCTCCAAATCCAGATAATATAAGCTTTTAGGTCGTAACTCCAATTCCTCATACAGAAAATAGCTAAGATATAAGAAAACATGTTAGAAACCTACAAATTCATCATCAACCGTAATACTAACATACCCAGAACTGTTCACAGAAGCATTTATAAAGGTTGACGAGCACGTCCAGTGCAATACTTACACAAAGAACTGTTCACAGAAAAGTGTGCATCTGAATGAGAGAAGAAAAGTGAAAGCTATTGTATGGTAACATTAAAGAAAAAGAGACAGAAAATGAAGAATGTTCACAAACTTGCTAAATAACAAAAAGGATACTGAATAGAGATGTGCAATCTTTTCCCACTGCCTTCATCAACATATCAACACCTGCAAGAATTATCTTATTTTTGTAACAATTTGATTTCTGTTGATATTAGCATTTTCACAATAACTTTTAATTTTAATGAAACCAGTAATAGGAATTATAAAAGCTATATGTGAACCTGCAGACTGAGTTGATAGTTATACCTCCAGGGTGAAACTTCATATATGGAGATATATTGTAAACACGGCCTTTTAATACAGTCCACATTTGGCCCTCTGTCTGGTGCTTTCTAACTTCATCAACAGAAATAAGTCGTTTGTTTGACTGCCCTTTCAAACCTGGAACCAGATAGATAAGATTGATAAAATGAATCACCTCATATTCTTAAAAGAAGTAAGAATAAGAGTAAGAACAAGAGGAATGACAAAGAAGTAAATAACTAATTTATTTATAAGTTTAATAAAAACAAGTGGTATAATTAAGGTTCTTCTAAAATCAAGGTTTCACAAACTCATATAACTATAAGTAGTTTGTTCTACAAGACTTACAATTTGATAAAATTATGATTCAAAATTAAAAAATTAGCTTCACAATTCACAATTCGAAACCCGATTTGATAACCTTGTACATGACTAATTATGACTTGTTTTTGGATGTTATGAACTTATGGTCATGAAATTTCAATTTTAAGTTTGCTCAAATATTTCCGTTCATAGTTTTTTTTACATATTTTCTATGTATATATCTATAAATATATCAGTATAAATGTATAACTTTACATTTTGATAGAATCATAAGATCCTTGTTACAATCCTACGTCTTATGATCATGCAAGCCCCCTCCCAATCCTAAGTAGGATCTTGATCCGGATCTTGACAACATCTATTACTACCATAATGGCATTTAAAATGGAAATAAATTACACAAGCACGAGAAAATAAGATTTAGGTTTTCTATTTTTATAAGGTAATAATGTTTAAGAATAGGGATATTAAAAGGTCAGAGAGCATGGTAGTCAGAATCGCAATTAAACTCGTAAAATTGCATGATAGTGTTTAGAGTTTAAGGTTTATTCTACACTTCTGCCATACCTGGGCAAGTTTGTCAATGAATAGAATCGCTGGAAGGAAGAATCAGTAACTCGCCATGTCAGATCATAGAAACAGTAGAATCAGCATTTTTTGGGAGCTCACTGGGCCAGTTTATTTTTTAGTTAACTTTTACATTTAGGGTCAAGTTTCAGTTTTTTTATTGTTTTGGACTTCTAAAAACCTTGGCCCATAAAATCCGAGCCTCAAAAGCCTAAATTTACTCTATCCTAGCCCTAGGAATGAAAAAAAAAACATGTTGAATTGTTATCTTCTTCAACCTTTCTCAAACAGCAAACCATCCCCAAAAACTGCTGCACAAATATTGTGACCACTGACCATAGCTCTCCACCACGTCCGGAGCTCCTCTCTGCCACATCTGGCATTGTTCCGCTGCCTCTACTGGATGAAGCAAGGAATCATTGTGCTCCTTCCCACAGTTCTCTTCCCTGGATTTTTTTCCCTCTACTTCTACGACTCTATTTTGCTCAAGTCAATGGTTTTCTTTCTTAGTTGTTTTCTATATTTTAATTTGGATGATCTATTTTAGTCTATGAATTAGAAGTCTATACTAGGTGTTTTAAGCTGTTTTGTTACTGCAGTGCAGTATTCTAAGTTGTTTTGTAGGTCCCTTCAGCTCTGTGTGGAGTTTAGTTATTGACTTTATTAGCTTATGAATCTGTAATTATGAATTAAGGCTTAAAACATTCTTTCCCTCTTATTTATAGTATGTTAGATGCATATATGAGAATTAATATGCATATAATTGTGTATTATAAATCTTGTAAAATCTTAGCGTTACAATTCCACAAGTTACAATTCTCTGACCCTTTCTCAAGTCTAACTAGAATCTCGATTTTAACTACCTTACTGGAGCGCGAATAGCACTTACAAAGGCCAAATTCAGAATAGTGAACAAAATTGGTATAAAATCATAATTATCAAATATTGGATAGTGGCACGTAGCAGCTATCTTTGAGAAAGCAATGGCAGGAAAGCTGGAAGCAAGATGATTGTCATATTAAATTCAATATTACAATACAAACTAAATAATTCATATTGCACATAAATACTAAAGAAAGAAACAAAAAAAAACAAAATGAAAGAAACCGACAGCAAATTTTATGCAGCTTATTTTCAAGTTTCAACTATACAATCAACCATTAACCCTAAACTCTTTCATATGTTCTTATCTAACAATGCTCTAACCAAAATGGAAGGGATTTTCAGAAATGGGCCAACATAGACAAAGAAATTCAATATGCAAACCTGCGAGATCCGGATGTGTCCGGGTAAGCTTGAGCCAGTCCATTTGACTATATCCTTTCTCAAAGGGAACTTTGGCCCGGACCGTCGGCTTCTTGGCAGAATTCCTCTGCCCTGGCGACTTCACCGGCAAATTGTTGACCCCACTTGGTGATACTACTAATTTCTCAGTGGATTCACTTGGCTGACACGAACCTGTGTTAGTTACAGTGAAAGACAAAGAACCAACTGTGGCCTCCTTTTTAGGGTTTGAATCATTGGATAAATCATCCTTCCACACAAAAACAGTGTCCCGACTAGAACCACTTGCATATGAAGATCCTTCTTTGATGGAAATGTCGGCAATATCTGAAGCAAGCTTGTTTGTTTCAAGATCAATAGGTTTACTAACCTATACACACAAGCACAGTACCCAATAACATGGATCCAATCATGCACCTTCATGAGCAACATTAAATAAATAGATATCAACATAAAAACAAAATGTCACCATCTATGCTTTGCTTTTTTACCTGACAAAACGTGAAATCGCTATCACCGTCCATGGTGGAGTGAGTGTAGATAAGATTAGGTTTCAGCAGCTGCAATTGAATTTCACAATAATGAAGAATGAATAAAATTAAGTTGATATATAAAATATGATCACAGAATCTAATTCTAGGGATTTATTACCTCTTTTTTATTTCTCTTCTTTCTTTCGAAATTTTCACCTGCACTATGCCATGCCCTTCGGATTTGAGATTTCATGCATACAACTTTTATTCAAAAATTACGCAAAAGTAAACCAACCACACATCGATTTTCTGGAGAGAAGAAAAAAAAATCAAGATGAGACATTCACCCTAATCGATAGCACCGTGAGGAAGATAATTTAGGTGTTTCAACTTTTTATCTTGCATGATGGGACCTTCTGTGGGCCTAACATACCCCTCCTAAGATAAAAATAAATAAATAAAATAAAATAAAAACATGTAAGTCATGTCTGGGGGGCCATTAAAATAAAAGCCCACTTATGTTTTGTTTTCCACCTTATGGAGAGTGAGAGATTGGGGAAGAAAAATTTGAGAGTGAAAGATTGGAGATGACTAAGGATAAATTTGGATAAAATAAGTATTTTTAAGAAAAAAATTAGAAGATAGAAATAAATTTTTTCTATAAATTAGAACTAACTTACGTGTAAGTTAAAAAAAAAATACAATTTTAACATCACATAATAAAAAAAATTAAAAAAAATTAATTTGCAATAACCTACCTAACAATAAAAAAATTAAAACTCGCCAGGAATATTTCCCAATTACAACGTAATAATGACCAAGTAAAACAACAAGAGCGATAATAATTCCTCTGATAGAGGCCCAACTGTTATCAAAATCTACACCCCCAAATTAACAAATTCGAGTTGACAATTTAACAAACATTTAACATGCATTATCAGCCAATTCAAGCAAACATCCATAAACCTAAAATGCATAATCCCAGAAAATCTCAAAATGTTCACACAGCACGTTAACAATCCCTAATCTACACCAACACTATTTAAGTCACAGATTTTCACCAGAAATCACAAACAAATCATACAGAGAGTAACCAGTAAAAAAAACTCGAAAACTGAACAAAATATCATTTCAGCGCATAAAACACAACGAAATCAAATTCAGGAAACGCAAATCTAGCACAAACAGTTGCATGCAGCACAAATCCAACTCCGAAAACAAAGTCCTAGATTCAACCAAACAGCAAGGAAGCAGTACTCGAGCATAACCTCCGATTTCACATTTAAATCTGGTTGATTGCGAAATGGTGCACGTAACGCACAAAATTAACCTAAAAAAATTAGAAGAAAAAAAAAAAAGGAATAACAAATCGAATCTTATTATACCGATTTACGAAGAGCCGTGGATTCTGTGCAGTAGAACGGTGTTTCTCTCTCTGAGATTGAAACCGAATTCGGGTTCGGATTTCAGGTCGCAGAACCTTACGCAGGCTTCGAAAATGGGACGAAAGTGAAAAGGAGGAACTAAAGGAGGAGGAAGGAGATGTGAAATGAATATAAAGGTTTATTTATAGGAATGTGAATATGTGATGCATACATGTATTATTTATTTATTAATTTATTAATAATATAAAAGGAAGAAAGTTGACAGCTTCCTTCTTTTTCAAAACTCTCAAATTTAAAAAAAAAAAAAAAATTCAACAAAATCATATCAAAAATATTATATTAACTTTTTATTAATATATAAAAAAAAAAATCATAGATATTATATAATATTTATATATTATATCAAAACAAATAAATTAAAATAAAATAATTGAATTAAAATATTTTAATAATTATTAATTATTATTATATTTTATAATATTATAATATAAATT